AGCCAATAATTTTTAAAAAGTATTTGCTTCATTAAGATACAGCTTTTTTTTTTTTTTTTTTGTCTCATTTTGTTGCCCTGGGTAGAGTACTATGGGGTCATAGCTCACAACAACCTCAAACTATTGGGTTCCAGCCATTCTCTTGCCTCACCCCCTTTTGAGTAGCTGGGACTACAGGCGCCCACCACAACGACCGGCTATTTTTAGAGATGAGGTTTCACACCTGTGAACTCAGGCAGTCCACCCGCCTCGGACTCCTAGAGTGCTAGGATTACAGGTGTGAGCCACCACACCTGGCCAAGATAACAGCTTTGAGCTGGAAAATGACAGGAGATGGATGGAATGAGGAGATGAATGGTATTATCAAATACTCCAGAAAGTTCCTGAGACCATTTCTCTGTACACACTATAGGCTTGAGGTACCATCAACAGATTGGTGGGGCCCAGCCCAGAGTTACTGCAGGGGATCCCCAGTCTACACACTGCTTTCTCACTCCACAGATCCAGTAACCAGGGCACACTCAGGAAGCTCTGATGTTAAAGGCCTTCCTACTCAAAAAGGTCAAGAATTATATAGATGTATGTACCAATTTCCAACTGAAAATGTAGTTTAAAATTTAACACTAGGAGCAAAACATATCCTGACAGTAATCACTGCATGATAGAAAGAGCTATATTCTGGAAATAAAGATTTTTGGAGGGAGGAAGCTTAAAAAATCATTAATTTCAATAGGCAAAGCCATAAAGGAGGAGATTGTGAATCACAGCAGTGTTGCGCCCAAAACAACCATCAAAGCAACTCTGGTCATGGGATGACTGTGGGGCACAGGGAAACACTCAGTCACTGGAGTCAGAAGACCCTGGATCAGTCCCAGCAATTCAACCCACCGCATCCAAGTTCACCTCCTCGTCTGTAAAAAGATTTGATAACAGTATAAATGCTTTCAAGGCTGTTGGACTCAAATTAGATAAAGGAGGTTGAGGAAGGTAAAATAAATTTATCTGTTGCCACGATTATGACAACTTTGGTTTTTCAGTTTTTATTGACATTTTACTCACAAATAATTACTTCCTTTTTGGTAGTTTTGACACTGTAGGAATATCGGCACCAAAGGTGATAAATGCTTTGATACACTTACTCTGAATTACAAGATGATTTATTTTACCTCCAAACTGCAACTGTGAATTTTCCTCTTCTTTTTCCTCTCAGTTTTACAAGCCTACAATTTCATCTCCACTTCTGCAGTAGGAAATTCCCACTGATTTCAACCCCTTCTCCTTCCAAGTTCATTTTTCTTCCCTTATGTGGGGTAAAGTCCCGAAGTGAACTATGCAAAGTCTGCTCTGAAAGTATCAAACTTCCTTTGTAAGGAGGGATTTTCCTATTTCAGCATAAAAAGCACAAACGTGCTTTATTTACACATGTGCTTCATTTACCTTCCATGTGAGTTGTATTTACGCTAGTTTTGAGCCTGGGGTCTTGTGAAGCATATAAAACTCACATGTCTCTCGATGTATCTTGACCTAATAAAACACTGTGGCCCCAAGGAAAAAAAATTTCTTCTGGTGTGGTAAAAACACACTGAATAAAGCTGCTATGGAACGGAGAGGAAGGCAGGTGGGCTTGGAGATGACAGGGGGTGTGGATTACACTAGGGTTCAGACAAGCTTTTCAGAACCATCTGGAGACAGGAAGTGATGAAATCAGCTTACATATGAATTGTCATGTGCACCCAGCAGCTTCCTGTCTTGAGGGGGACAGAGGGCATGAGGAAGTGGGTGGTGGGGAGAAGGAAGAGACAGGGTGGGAAAAGTCCCAACTCTGCCCCTTACAGTCTCCCTTATTCTTCTGGGACTGGGGTTAAATAAATTGGTTTATTTCCTCTCCCAATAACCAATTTCTCATCATGAAAATCTGCTGTGAACCCTAAGTTTCCCAACTTTGACACTGGTGACCACGCTTTTGGAAGAAAGCAAACATCAACATATTGCTGAGCCCACTAACTTTAGTTAGAGCTCCAATGCCAAATGGGCTTTCATAATTCTGCTCTATCCTTCACAAGTGGGGGTGGGGGGCGAAGGAGAGGGTTGAACCTGGAATAAAAAGGAGCTCAAAAGCAGCTAGGACTCAGTTGTATCGAAAATGAATTTTGTGCTGAACCCCCTGCTTAGGGTCTTGCTGGCTGCTGCTGACCTGTGACTGGGGTCTTGCTCTTGCTCAGGCTGGTCTGAACTCCTGAGCTTAAGCAATCCACCTTGGCCTCCCAGAGTGGTAGGATACAGGCGTGAACCACCATGTCTGGCAGTGGTGGCCTTCATTGTCACTGATGGGGCTGCCCCATCGCAGTTAACAGGGGTAACAGGGGTTGGGTGAGTCTACCTGGAATCCACAGTTTGACAGTCACAGCCAGTGCCAGGCTCTGTGACGATGTTCCTTGCAAGCTACAAAGATTTAGAAGAAAACTTCCTCCCTACTCATTTCTAAATTAGGAAAAGTTACTACTTGTCACAATGGTAGTAATTTACAAGGTTAAATCAAAGAATAGACATAAAACTTTGACTATGTCAAGATAATGTTTTATGAAATAAGCTATGCAAAATCAAATATAAGATACACATAAGACGAAATAAATTCATTGTCCAGGTAGAAAGCACACCCCCAATGCATGGGATTTCGACCTCACTAAACCATGGGCACAGCTCAGACCCTGGGCAGCTGGAACCGCCTCCGGGCCTCCAGTCCCACTTCCTCATGGCCCTGTCCACACGTGACAACCTTTACCACCCTTAAGCCTCTCACCCAGCAGGGACACCCAAATCATGACTCAAGTGAGAGCCTCATTTATCAGCGGCAGGTGAGACCTCTGCTTTCCTCAGACTCACCTGTCGTCCATGGGGGAGCCAGAGTGCCACCCACGTGACCTCTGCTTTCCTCAGCGTCCCGCCTGCCGTCCACACGGGAGCCAGGGCACCCACCCACGTGACCTGTGCTTTCCTTCACGCCTCACCTGCCATCCACACGGGAGCCAGAGTGCCACCCACGTGACCTCTGCTTTCCTCAGCTTCCCGCCTGCATCCGTGCAGGATCCCTGGTGCCCACCCACGTGCTTGTGCCTCGTGCTGCTGGGCTCTGGTTTTCAAACTGCACTCTCTAAACCCTCAGAGGGCTGCTCCTTTCCCTATTAGATATTGGGCTTCCGGCTCACATCCGAGTTTCCTACTCAGATGAGGAAGCGATGATGTCAGGCTTGCTGAATTCCAGCAGAAGAGATGAGGACAGAGGAGGGCGACTTCCCTGCACCGTTTGCTAGGACGATGAGGCGTGCCCAACCTCGGTTTCCCCAGCTTCCACCTCCAGGCTTCGAAGGGCTGGTGTCTGTGGCAGCTCATCTGATTTCACCCTCAGCACATCCTTAAGGTAGGAAGTACCATTTCCACTTATAGGCAAATAAACTAACCCAAAGAGGCAAAGGTTTCCCAAGAGCAGTATGGCCCAAGGGGCGCAGCCAGGACACAGACCCCAGTCTTGCAGAGTGTGTCCTCCAGTCCTATCTCACCTGAGTATTTTACCTGCATATTCCTTCATTCATTCTATCTCAGCTTCCCAAGAAGGCCTTACAATTTCCCAACTAAAACTGGGTCTGAAGGAAGAAGGGGGAGTGTGAAAGGGAAATCACAAAGACCAGCCTTCCCTGGAGTCTCTATAAATCTCTGTGAGCTTCCTGGTACATGGCCTCCCCAACATGAACCACCTGTAGCCAATACTGAGAAACAATCAGATTACTGAAGGCCACTACTGAACACAGTGTAACTATTAAAGGTCAGTGCTGGCATTATTCAAATGTGCATTTCCTTGATAGGTGAGGCACATTGCTGGGTTTCTGAGTAATCTGCCTCTGTCGTAAATACACTCAGTCAGGAAACATGTGATTCCAAAGTAAACAAATGTGCAACTCTTAGGCTAGTACTAGAAATATTACAAATGAACATTTCACAGAATCCTAATAATATATCCAACAGGAAGGAGTGAAAAGGTAAAGAACCAGAAAGGAATATAGTTCCTTTGTTTTCAGAATACTGAGAACTTAAAAATATCATTATGTTATATTCATAACTTCAGTAAAACATATGTACCACTTAAGAGCTGCTGTGCTCACACACACAGTATGGAATTCTCTCTCCCAAATGCTGAGCAGCACCGTTTCTATGACTTGTGGGGACGTGGACATAAGCATGAAGATGTTAACTTGTCTTACAGTATCAAGTCACAACTGGACAGGTGCACACATTCCATGTGAATCTCCCACTATTGTCTCCAAGAAAGTGTACGACTTTCTCATAACTGCTACCGGGAGACATACCCAGGAAAGTCCTTCCACCTGGAACAGTAATTTCTTCATGAATTTGAAGCAGGGAGCCCTTTGCCAATTTACATGCACACTGGGCTTTTTAATACGTTACCTGAGCAGAAAAGTCAATGAGCTTTGGAAGCAGCACTTTGCCACCCTCATCACTCTTCAGGAAATCCAGCAAACTGCCTATGTAGAGAGCAGGAATAGTTAGTATAGTTCAAATGCACGAGAAAATAATCCAAACAAAATTTACACGATCATCACTACTGGGGAAACCCCTCACACAACGATTAGCTTTGCAATTCTACCTGGTTATATGTATTTTCCTGAGGTTGGTCATACTTGGTCCCCTCTAAGAAAGGTCTCATCCTTTTCACCTCATCAGGTCCCCGTTGACCTGATGTGAAACACAGCGTGTGCTCCAGGTGAGAAAGGATGAAGGTAGAGGCCACTTTTCTCTCTACAGGTATGTGTGAACCATGCATTTCAGAGCACCTGCCACCATGATCCACTTACTGCCGTCACCTGATCTTGAGCGAGGTCCTCTGGACCGAAATCTGTGAGGCTCCATGGAGGCCTGCCCTCAGCAGACAGACGCCTGTCTATACCCAGCAAGAAGCATAGAGCACAGCAGGGGCCCAACCAGTATTTGATGAGTGAACTGTGCCTTGGAAAAAGTGAGGCCTACCTATAAAGGTGTGTGCTAAGAGAGAAAGGGTTCATCTCTAAGGCAAGCCCTGATTTTCCTCTGGAATTTTAAGTACCAAGCTCATGAGTAGCCATGCTCAAGTTATTTACCTCATCTAAGTCTGTAAAAAGTGATTAGGCACTAGCAGCTACACATATGTCAGAGCTTTTATGAGAATGTAATCAGAGGATAGGCTTAAAGCACGTGCTATGGTGCCATGCTCAGTAAATGTCACACTAATTTGTCCACACAGAACAGTAGTACTTAGCCCCCTGACTGCTGAGAAGATAATAACTACTGTTATAGAAACCTAGGAAGAAAAAAAGAAGTCAGGGTGTGCTTTACCTATGGAAAGCATCAAGAAGAATCTGGTATACAGTCAGTGCTCAATAAATGTTACACTACCTCATGCACACAGAACAATAGTATTAGCCCCAGAATGCTGAAAGGATTAAGTGAGAATACATGGAGAGCATGAAGAGGAGTCTGGTATGCAGTAAGTACTCAATAAATGTTAGGTATTGTTATGTGGAAAAACTTACATTTACATTTACAATTAAAAATATTTTAGTTAATTCATATTTATAGAACTCCTACAAAGAGACTGGCTCTGAGTCTAGTTTCTGGGTTACAGTAACACAAGCCATAGAGATTGGTTTTGTTTCCTTTTGTTTTTTTAAATGATGTCCTTTCTCTGTAAGGACCCTGAGTGATTGATATTTAATAGATATTAAATAAGAAGACGTAACATTCGCTTTTAAAACTGTTCAACTATGACTTTATACTATAATCTCCATTAGGCAGATGACTGTTAATTCTAGATTATTGTTTATGTTTCTTTCCTTCCTTCGTTCGTTACTTCTGAAGACTTTTTAAAAGCTCATTTGGGGGCCAGGTCTGTAATCCCAGCACTCTGGGAGGCTGAGGCGGGTGGATTGCCTGAGGTCAGGGGTACCAGACCAGCTTGAGCCAGAGTGAGACCCTGTCTCTAGAAATAGGCGGGCATTGTGGTAGGGACCTATAGTCCCAGCTACTGGGAGGCTGTGGCAAGAGGATCACTTGAACCCAGGAGTTTGAGGTTGCTGTGAGCTGTGATGCCATCGCTCTCTGCCCAGGGTGACAAAGTGAGGCTCTGTCTCAAAAAAACCCCTCATTTGGGGCTTGACCCCTGTGGCTCAAGCAGCTAAGGTGCCAGCCACATACACCTGAGTTGGCGGGTTCGAATCCCCAGCCCGGGCCCACAAACAACAATGACGGCTGCAACCAAAAAATAGCCAGGCGTTGTGGCGGGTGCCTGTAGTCCCAGCTACTTGGGAGGCTGAGACAGGAGACTCGCTTGAGCCCAGGAGTTAGAGGTTGCTGTGAGCTGTGATACCATAGCCCTCTACTGAGAGTGAAATAGGGAGACCCCTTCCAAAAAAAAAAAAAAACCTCATTTGGCAATTTTTTGGTCTCATTCCTAAACTAGAGGTGGACAAAGAAGCTAAGATGGTGATTCCAACCTCTCGACATGAAAGTAATAAGGGTAGAATGACAGTTGAAGAAAACATGGTTGTTTGCAGCCTCCTCTTAAGCAATTGAATGATTACATGGGAATTTAACCTTCACAACTTTTAAAAATATTAACTTTTTAAAGTGACACCCTGAACTCTGAGATAATGTTAAAAATGAATGAAAATTGGATAATGCTAGAGAATGAAAACAAAGAGGAATTTAGTATGAATAATCCATACTAAACATGTACTTTTAGAATTTTGAGAACTCACATTTTAGGTACATAACAAAAGAAATCTTCGATATACAAGGGGTACCATTCTCAGGGCTAAGAAGTATATGCAGGCAGATACAGAGAAATCAGGAGGACTGTCACAGGTATAACAATTCTATAACACGGATTACTGGTGAGTAGGTTTATGGAAATGCTTTGTTTTCCTATATTTTAACCTTCTCAGCAGTGAGCATGCTGATTTACAATTAAAGCTATTGGAGTGTCCTCTGACATTTCCACATTTTACTTTCTCAGTCGGAAAGGCGCAGGGCAGTGGGAGGCACCCACCTTTGGCCATATACTCGGTGATGATGTAAATGGGCTCCTCCCTGGTGACCACAGCATAGAGTCTCACAAGCTTGTCGTGCTGGAGGGTCTTCATGAGGTTGGCTTCTTCAAGGAAGGCTTGCACAGACATGGTGCCTGGTTTCAGGGTTTTTACAGCCACCTTGGTACTATTGTTATAGTAACCTAGGAAGAAAAGAAGCAGTCAGAGCATGCTTTACCGAACAGAACATCTGAAACCTCACTTTGCAGGTATGGCATTAGAAGACAATTTAGTTATAGGGAGAAAAAACCTGAGATAAAACATTATATATTGTTTAGGTCGGGTGCAGCAGCACACACCTGGAATCCTAAAACTCTGGGAGGCTGAGGCTGGTGGACTGCCTGAGCTCACAGGTTCAAGACCAGCCTGAGCAAGACCAAGACCCTCGTCTCTAAAAGTAGATGGGCATTGTGGCAGGTGCCTGTAGTCCCAGCTACTCCGGAGGCTGAGGTAAGAGAATCATTTGAGCCACAGAGTTTGAGGTTGCTGTGAGCTATGACGCTATGGCATTCTGCCAAGGGTGACAAAGTGAAACTGTCTAAAAAAAAACACAAAACTATTATATACTGTTAAAACTAAGGAAGACTGAATTAAAGGCATCTGGGAATTCTCTGTATTTTCTTTACCAAAAAAAATTTATCAAAAGATTTTTATAAAATGACATTCAAAAAAATTATTTATTGAAGCCTCCACCATGAAGGCTAATATTTTCCTCTAGCTAATAAAATCTTCTTTATCCAAGACTAATAAAATGAAGCAAAGGTCTTTATACGATATAATCCTTTACACACACATACACACATACATTATAATCTCCATTTTAAAAATATAAGCATATTTTATAGATACACAGACACATATATAAACAATGGTCTGGAAGAAAATACACCAAAATACACCAAATACTGGCTATTGTCAATGGTTTGATTATGAGCAGCTTTAATTTTGCTCACTATGCCTTTAACTTTATACCAGATTTTCTACGATGAAGGTGTATACAGTTTTATGATTAGAAAAAAGATCTAGTACTTTATAAAATTACACATACACACTAACTGTAAAGTATAATATCCTACAGTCATATGAGCATTTCCCAGAGTTTTCAGAGAAACAGACTTGGGTGAGTCTGTGTGCCACAGGGCTCCAGTCTGAAAGGACCTGGTGTCCTTTCCTGCACCCCTCCCCTTCCAGGAGACGCAGCAGGTGCCTTTGATGCTGTTGGGAAAGAAACCTGAATTTGTTCACCTTGGCATCTCCCACACTGTCCTGAGCTCAGGACATTTGTCAAGTCCCCTTTTCACATCTCACAGAACACACTGGAAGAAATACTGACTCCTTAACATAATTCCTTAAGGCACTACTTTTCTGGGACCTGCCTTAATGAAGTGTTTGACTTTAATCCTGATTTCCTTTTCTTTTTTTTTTTTTTTTTGTGAAAGCCTTTTTTCAGTGATTTGCCAAAGCAGAAATATATGCTGCAGTTTTATAGAATTTGCCCTAAGGAATGGTAATGGGAGGCCAGGCATGGTGGCCTAACCCTATCATTTCAAGACTTTGGGAGGCCAAAGCAGAAAGATCACTTCAGGCCAGGAGTTCAAGACCAGGCTGGGCAACATAGCAAGACCCGATCTCTACAAAAAATAAAAATATTAGCCAGGTGTGGTGGTGAGTGCCTCTTTCCCTAGCTACTTGGGAGGCTGAGACAGGAGGATCACTTGAGCTCAGGAGTTTGATCATGCCACTGCACTCCAGTTTGAACAACAAAGCAAGACCTTGTCTCAAAAAAAAAAAAAAACCAGTGGTATGGAGTGTTCAATCCCCCTTTGAGGGCACAATGCGGAGCGTGCACAGTGAGACGTCAGCAAGGATTATCTTTAGGAGGTAGAACTTGGGATGACTTTACTTTCTCTTGTTCTTTTCTATTTTAATTACTTTTGTCAAAGAGTATATAGCTTTTTTCTTTCTTAACAAAAGGAATTATTTTTTTTTTATTTATTTTTTTTGAGATGGAGTCTCAAGCTGTTGCCCTGGATAGAGTGCTGTAGCATCATAGCTCACAGCAACCTCCAACTAGGGCTCAAGTGATCCTCTTGCCTCAGTTTTTCTATTTTTATTGTTATTATTATTTCTTTTTTTTTAGTAGAAGCAGAGTCTCACTTTATCGCCCTCTGTAGAGTGCCATAATGTCACACAGCTCATAGCAACCTCCAACTCCTGGGCTTAGGTGATTCCCTCAGCCTCCCAAGTAGCTGGGATTACAGGTGCCCACCACAATGCCCAGCCATTTTTTGTTGCAGTTTGGCTGGGGCAGGGTTTGAACCCACCACCCTCGGCATATGGAGCTGGTGCCCTTATAGAATAAGGTTCTAAACCGCCCAGGTTTTCTATTTTTAGTAGAGACAAGATATCGCTTTTTGCTCAGGCTGGTCTCCAACCTGGGAGCTCAAGCAATCCACCCAGCGTGGCCTCCCAGAGTGCCATTACAGGCTTGAGCCACCACACCCGGCCAAAAGGAATTATTTCTTAAAAGAAAACAAATTATGTTTTTATTTCTAAACTTTCCAACAAACAAGAGAAAAGGTATTAACTTACAAAGAACAACCCTAGCTGATGATTTTTCTCTTAGTCATTAAGACTGATTTCTGTATTAAAATGTTTCCCCTTAGGGCCATCTCAGTGGCTCACACCTGTAATCCTAGCACTCTGGCCGAGGCAGGTGGATTGCCTGAGCTCACAGGTTTGAGACCAGCCTGAGCCAGAGCAAGACCTTGCCTCTAAAATAGCCGGGCATTGTGGTGGATGCCTGTAGTCCCAGCTACTTGGGAGACTGAGGCAAGAGAATCTCTTAAACCCAAGAGTTTGAGGTTTCTGTGAGCTGTGATTCCATAGCACTCTACCAAGGGTGACAAAGTGAGGGTCTGTCTCAAAAAAAAAGTTTCCTTTTATATTCCACTTTGGTTTGTGCTCAGTGGGAGCTTGCCATGCCCTATACAATAATGGAGAATACAGCATAAAATAAATGTTACATTATATGGAGTAGACAGCTGGCAAGAAAACACCCTGGCTTAGCACCTGTGGCTCAGGTGACTAAGGCGCCAGCCACATACACCTAAGGTGGTGGGTTTGAATCCAGCCCAGGCCCACCAAACAACAATGATGGCTGCAACCAAAAACAATAGCCAGGGGTTGTGGCGGGGGCCTGTG